CAAGGATTTAGTGGAACCCTTTTTTTGGCCGTGGAATTGCCCATGCCATGCCTTTGGACAATTCTTCCAACTCCAATGCATGCAATCTATTGAGCCAAGCATGCCAGGAAAGCCGCGAGCTTTGTTCATCGCCAAAAGCCTTGCGACGTCTTCAGCGGTGGGAGATCTCAAATACTCCTCGCCAAACACTTGCACAATTCCGAGTGTGAAGTGCTTGACACACATGATAGCTTGGCTCTCACCCATAGCCAAGTGATCATCAACTAGTTCAGCCGGTATACCGTATGCCAACATACGCAAAGCGGCTGTCACCTTCTGAAAGGTGCTATGCCCGAGCTCTCTGGCGGCATTCCTCCTTTGCTGAAAAAAGCGGTCATGGCTCGCTAGTTTCTCTGCAATGCGCCTGAACAACTCGGTGCTCATCATAAACCGGCGACGAAAATATGACTTGGGGTATGTGGGATTCTCCGCAAAATAATGCCTGATCAATCTGTTGTGGGCATCGATCCTATCCCTCCAAAAAATTTGCCGACCCATAACCGAACCACCGTGTTTCGGTTTTTTATTAATATGCATAGCTAGGATCATTGCAAGATCCTCCTCCTCTTCCATATCAAATTCTTCTTCGAAAGAATCATACGACGAACTCATCTACAATGTTGAATACTATGCTATAAATAAAAAACTACAATCAACATACACGAAATTCATGGCTTTTGAGCAATACATACCTTCTAGGCGTTTTGTCGAACACCTAGCGGGCGCCGAACGGCAGCGAGCGCGCGTGCGCTGTTCGTCGGCGGGCCAGCACGCGCGCGGGGCGGCTGGCCTAGAGGGGGGCCGGAGAAAGCGCACGCGGGGCGGGGATAGGCCGGGGAAGCGCCGGAACGGTCGCCGGATGGCGCGGTCGGCAGCGGCGCGGCTGGAGGAGGGGGGGAGATGCGAGCGAGCGCGCGGGAGCGGGCGCAGCAAATAAGCGGCGCGCGATTGCGTTTCGGCCCGCGCGCTGGACTACGTATTGCCGCGCGCGGTGTTTTCGCGCGCCCGCTGGAGCAGCTCTTCCGGTTGCGCGCACGCTAAAAGAGGGGATTTTGCGGCGCGGCGCTAGTTTGGCGCGCTCTGAAGATGAAATCTCATCTACGGCGATGTGCATGGACCTGGTGAGTAGGGATGCAGCTCCGTGGACCGCTCGTCGGGCCTGATAGGTGGCGGGATGAAGCGCTGACCTAGGCAGCTCGAGCTGGACAGGAGCGGGGCGGCGCGGTCGGCTTACTTCGCAGCAGGACAATGAAAGATGTATCTGAATGAAACAGTTAATGGTTATGACCTTTTATGATCTGCTGGGGTCTGGAAGAATGTGCTGAAGCTGTCATACATGTAATTACACGCATCACGACATGAATGCATCTCACAAAAACAATGTCAAACACACCACTGGGTAAAGTCATGACGCCAATCACAAAATAATCATGTGCGTGCGTGCAGGAAACGAATCAACTCATTTAACTCTACGATTTGTTCATCATCATCGATTCGTCAGCGTTGAGGAGAGACCTGGCTGAATACTTGCTTCTGTATTCTGGTGCTATTCCCTTGCTTTGCATTTTCGTCTGCAAGGAGAACATCATCTATCCAGGAGACAATACTGTAGGCCAAACTTTCGAGCACCCTTGAGTAGCTTTCAAGTATTGCCTGTCCAATGTCCTGTGTGAGGGCAAAAGAAGATTTGAAAAAAGTTAGCTATGATGTATAACGTCTCTGTTTTTTTATCTTTGGTGTGTAAAAGAGATCTTTTGTGGTATCTTAAGAGATGCGGCTGCTAAAACGGTTTCTGATAAAACAGTAGCAAATGCATAGATTTTTTCCGAAAAGGATCTATTCTGAATTATTATTTTTTAATTAACCACTTGCTCTCCTAATAAGCTTATATATATATGAATCGATCATTACCTTATTGTAGTGAATCTTGCTTGTGTCGAGGGTAGTCTGTGAGAGGCCTGGAAACCTTTGTTTCAAGCACAGCAGCAGGCTCCTGGCCCTGCTTGCCAGGATCAAGTTCTTGTCCCCATCGGCATTCAGCTCGGTGACATTCTCCCATTTGGTCACCACGTGGGTCATGCTAGCTTTCCTTCTCCACACGTACATAGCAGCCTCGACACGGTCGGCGATCTCGAGCGCCTCGTGCTCGGAGCTCAAGTTGAGGAAGTCGAGGAGGTGATCCGGTGAAAACTGATCCCCCGAGGACATGTACCGGTATATGGCGTCGCCTGTCCCGACTTTCCCGGTCTGTTGTTCGAGCAACAGAAATGCATAACCCATCAGAGAGGGAAACTGAAATTTTAAATTTTTGGACAAACTAGCTACATGGTGATCTACTTGATTTCCGTATATAGATCTTACATACCTTGGGAAGCGTTTCAATGTATGAGGACGGGATTTGCATTTCGGAGAGGATGGCGTTGTTGATCTCCATGGCCATCTTGTGGATCTGGCTAGCCTGGTCCCGCTTGTGCTGCAGCTCGCGGTGCAGAGAGTCGGAGAGGCCTGATTCCGGCACGCATGGCTCGGGCAACCACCACTTGTCCTCGTTGCGCTTGAACGACGGCTTCTTGGTTTCGCTCAAGGACTGCTTCCTCTGGTCCGCGTACCAGAACTCCGCCTTGTCAAAGCTGTCCAATATGCCCTGCAAGCAAGCAAATTGCAGAGTCAGTCAAGCCGATTGGAACTTCCACACAGGATAGGAGAGTATCTGAAGGAGACTTTACGAGGAGCATGGTTTCTAGCTTCTCCAGTGCGGGGAGGTTCATCAGAATGTCTGATCGCGGCGAGGTTGCCATCACCTGCACGTAGCAGCAGTCACATACAAATATGTTTGTTAGTAATTAAGCAGAAAGCTTGAACTTAATAATTATGAGGAAGGATGCAGGCATGTGTGATGGATGTTGGCATGGGTTACATCGTGGGTGCTTCCGTCGGGCCTGGCCTGGACCGTTGGTGCGAACTCGACGATGTACTCGCAGATGGAGAGGAGGCAGTCCATCTCCCGGTTCCACATTGATCTCTTCTCAGGGGGCAGTGACTGCAACCTGTGGCAGGTCCCAAACACAGTTGCTGCGTGCATGCATGCATCAGGAGTTCAGGACCAAGTTCGTTCATTCAACAGAGAAAATTGTTCAGTTTTGCTAGAACTCATCTAGATAAGATATAATTTGGTCTCATTCACCTTTTATATCCATTGGATGTGATGCTATAAGATGCGTGTGTGCTGGTGTGGGTTTTATTTGTTCTTGTTTTCCAAGTGAATGAGACCAAATTATATCTCATTTAGATGAGTTCTAGGTACTTCCAAAATTGTTTCATCTACAATTACTACGTATAGTTCGTAGCACGAACTAGGTAAGTTCGTACCATATAGGTTGGTGATGGCGTTGGAGATGGCGACGGCGGTGCAGACGCCCTTGCCGCCGCCGGACATGTCCTCCCCGAGAAGCAGCTTGGTGTACTTCTCCTTCATCAGCTCCATTTCTGATGAGCAGCACGACACTCATCAGCCAGACTGCATGCAGGAACAGGAAGAGAAAAAACAGATTCCGGTGATCTATATCCATCCATGAATACCTTCGTCTTCCACGGACCTCTCGTCGACGGCCTGCTGCAGCTTCTTCATGCTCAGCTTGCTCATCGCCTGTGAGAGGCGCGACGGCGCCGCGGTCACCTTGAAGGACGCCGTGCGGGCCATGTGCTGGTGCTCGTCGCCGCCTCTCTCGGAGGAGAAGGAGGCGACGCGGAAGAGCGGGCGCGCGTAGTCGCGGTCGTGGCTGTACTGGCTGTGGAAGCCCGGGAACGCCGAGCTGTCGCCCATTGCTGCTGCTAGCTAGCGCTTCTTTGGACCTTGAAGAAGTATGGATGGTGCAAGAATGGCTGGCGGCTTGCTAAGAGGCATGCAGAGGGCGGCATAGCGTTGAGTCTTGGCAACAAGGAGGCATAGGCTGGTCCACTGATTCAAACTTGAAAGCAAAGTCAGATACTCCCCACAGCCAGCTACGTGCGTGCTACTCATGAATTGGCACAACATATTCAATTTTTTTTTCAGTTGGTGGTAGTACATGATCATGGCAGGCACCAAGTACGTACGACCACCAATTGAAAAATGAAAGAGAATGTATGAAAAAATGGATGTGTGTAGGATCAGTGTATCTTAATCAGTGTGGGCTCTGGATCATAAAATTAAGAGGGAAGAAGGTGGGAGGCGACTAACTGGTCATCAAGTTTTTTTTTTTTTTTGAGGTGAACTGGTCATCAAGTTGATAGCAGAAGCAGACGCAGGACGTGAGAGATCTGAGGGAAGGCTTCCTTGATGTGACTTGGGCCGCGTTGGGCCAGTCCGTCGTGCGCCCAAGCATGACGGACCGCCAAAGGGAGGAGGGAGGAGACTGGGATGTCATCGTCTATGCGCCCACCATGGACGTCGTCGTCCTCGTAGAACAGCGGCCGCCAACCGCCATGGACGGCATCGACGCCTCAGAGAGCTCCATCCATAGCGGGCAGAGGAGATGAGCGAGCATCTAAGTCTTATGTCATTGATTTTTTCTTTACACGAAATTAACCTGGAGTCAAGATGGCCTCAGAGTTTGGGTGGAATTCCTAAAAATAAAAAAAGACTGCTGCATTCACCAGAATAACTTCCAGTTCCTGATTCAAAAAAGAACGATAAAATACAACATTTAGGTGAATGCAACAACCATAGAGCAGATAATGCAAAGTCAATCAGTCTCTCGGCAATCAAGCAGAAAAGAAATCCGGATATCACAAAATCTATGCATGTATGTATATGGCTACAAGCTAAAGAAAGCTCCACTCAATGACCACAAGAATCCATCTAGGAAGGAACCATCATCGACAGAACAAAAGTGTTATCTCAACCGTCCATCAACTATCCCTGGCAGCTCAAAAGCAAAGCTCCGACGACGACGCGCTCCACATATGCCTCCCTCCTCCGGTCAGTCCGTCGAGTTCTCATGGAGCAACACGTACTCCCGGCTGCAACCAACGGAAGAAACATTCATTCACACCCTAATTTGGAAGGCTGGTTATGTTGACAAGAGGTTGCTCAAACAATAGGATCTAGGAAAATAATAAGTAATAGACTATTAGATTGTCATGACCATACCTACTGTTGCCAAACTTAATGTTGTCCCTTTCAAAGAGTTCATAGTAGCGGTGGGACTCAATGCGATCCTCCTGTAGCATTACAGCATGTTTGAGAGAGAGAAAAAATGGAAGTGGTGTAAATCAAACCAAGGTTGAAATGATATCACGTGGAAAACATGTGTCTAGAAAACTTACATTGATGAAAGTCCCATTGGTACTACCAAGATCCATCAGATAAGGCCTACCAGACCAGGAAGAAATATGGAAAGTCGTCATTCAATAACATATGCTGATCAATTACTGACATACTGCTATGTGCAACAATTGCTAAGTACCTCACTTGCTTTGACATCATGCCATCTGGTTGCTCCTTCTCTATAAGTCTGAATAATAGGCAAAAGGTCATTTGATCAGAGTATGATTTCTCAACATACGCAGATAAGAGTGTTAGGCACTTGGGCTTACCTATATTGAAGAACCGCGTGTTGCTTGCTGCAGGAGGGATGGTCGGTGGGGATGTCTGCAATCCTCCTTTCCCTTCCAAAAAGGTAGTGGCTCATGCGATGAACATACAACGGTTCTGTTCAATCAGGTAGCATCATCAGAAACATTCATCATGCAACTCAAGTATCATGCCATCAAGAAGAGCATGCCAGTTCTTCAGCAGTTCAGCACCCTACATCCTTGCTAAGGAAATCCTCTATAAAGACTAGGGAGCTAAACATCCATTTGAAATTGCACATTAAATTACTAACTAAGGAACCACTATGTCTTTATTAACCTGCTTATTGCCATTGACTCCAGTGAATCACTATAATTGAAAACAAATCTAGGGAGTCATTTATAAAGCATCAGCGTGTAAGTGGTGCCGAGCGCTCCACCACGCCACATAACCATGCCAGATAACATAGTGTGCGGGTGCCCATGGCCACGGGTGTATGTGGGGACTTGCAAATCATCCCGTTCAGCCACATCTTTGCGCAGTTATCCCGCATAGTCTGCCTGGACAGTCAAACCAAGCAGCTGCTGGCCTGCTGCAACAGAGACTCTTCTCCGTTCTACAGAAAACTCAAACCTCAGCACATAAGTGAACACAATGATTTTTCTCTACACACACCTGATGCTGTAAAGTATAAACTGATCAGCTGATCGTGTGTGTCACTGATTAATTCATGTTCAGATGCAGCAGGGACATTGATCATAAAAAGTATTGATATCGATTCATTGCTGCATGAGCCAAAAAAAAATTCTGAACTATGAGATAGTTTTGTTAACTATGTGTTTCATACCCTGTTGATCGATTCATGTTTAATTATTTGTGTATCAAGTATGGACAGACACACCATGTACCTAGCAGGAACAAATATCTACTAGCAAGACTACATGGGCTTGTGCAGGTATGTCGATGCTGTGTACTCCCTCTGTTCCTAAATATAAGCCCTTTTAGAGATTTCAATACGAACTACATATGGATGTATATAGACGTGCTCATTTTGCTCTGTATGTAGTCCATATTGAAATCTCTAAAAGGTCTTATATTTAGGAACGGAGGGATTAGTAGACAGTGCCAGTTGGCGGGCTACCACAAACGACCCAATAACACAAACAGGATGGGGCAGACAGAAGCAGGCAACTTGCTATTAGTCCCACTTGCACCCTGAATCGACACATCCTTTATATTTCACAAATTCAGTGTTTGTATCTGACTGGTATAGCGTATAGTTACCTCATGGGACCTATTTACTATCCAGAAAAAGGAAATGATGATTTTAATCCAAAACAAGCCTATATCATAGTGAACTTCTGGTTACTGCCTTTGTCCCCCATTAAATGTTTGTCTAAAACTTCCGAGATAAGGACAAACGGTATTTTTATGAAAGCCTGTTTTATCACATTGAGTCACTTAATACTCCCTCCGTCCCAAATTAAGTGACTCGACTTTGCACTAACTTTAGTACAATGTTAGTACAAAGTTGAGTCGCTTATTTTGGGACAGAGGGAGTACTTGCTACTGAACCCACTTTTCTTCGCAATGCTGGGGCGAAAAATAGAGAATTGACTGCCAAAGAAGATAACTGTATTACTACCGTTGGCGTATGTGGAAAAAAACATCCCATTTCTCCAATTTCCTTTGTAACAACTATTAAATTGATGGATAGCATGACATGAAGCAAACAATAGCTTCGGATATGGAGAGTAACAAGCCAAGAATAAGTACCATTCAGTGCTTCACCGCCCTTGAATACATAGAGTCTCCATCTAATATCTGATTTGCGAGCCTCTGGAGGTTCTGAATACAACAAAGTTATACCTGAAGAGGAAGAGGAAATAAACTGTCAGCTCTGGAGATTGTACAGTAACGGTGCACGTAAGGGAAAGCTGGTGTTAGCTTTTCTAATTGGTTGTACAACCATCATAGGAACTGTAGGTGTCTATGATCATTGGTCATGCAAAAAATAAATATTCAAGATATACATGCTTGCGATCAGCACCTCCAACTTTGTTAGTCTCCTCGGCAAGCTTTCCAGACAACTCAAATGATGGTTTTTGCTGCAAAATAAATGCATTTGCTAAAGTAAGAATGTGTAGTAAACAAAAAGAAAGACAACACAAACAACTGCTGTTATGACAAGCATTACCAGAAAGCAACAATCATCTCATATATGAACATTCTTCAGATAATTGAATTGACATTAATGCAATATCCATCATGGTGTGTGGACTACCTTTTCTTTCACCTCCAGAGCTTCTGCAGCAGTATTCATCATTGCCAATGAATCAGCATCACCACTCCTGACCAAAACAGTTTAGGTTAATAATTGCGGACAAAAAATGCATAGCAGAAAGAACATTGGTTAAAGCAAAATAGCATGCTTCAAACACATAAGAACCAACAAAACACTCTAGTAATATAGAACCCTCGAGTAGAACATAAATGATTCAGAAATATGGCATAAACATAGCGACCCAGCAGAGAAGAACCAACCCAACGTACTTGACCAGTAAGAAAGAAAACATGGTGCATGATTGCTTTCACAATATAGAAGAAAGTCACAAGCAATTAAGGTGATCCCAATTGAGATGGTTTTCAAAAAGAATGATAATGACCAACTATAAGTATGTGTATTCACTTGACAGGGGAAGATGCTTGACAAACAAACATGTTTATAAAATTGGAGAGATCCTTCTTTTGCCATGCAAAGGACCAAATTTGCATCTGCCACCATAGTACGGCATAAATCTTCATGCCACTCGACAACACATTAGAGTTCAGGTACAGGACCAACTTAATACAGATCATAATTAATCATTATAACGATATATAATTTCCCTTAATGTATATGCCTATATCAACAAATAATGTATATGCCTATATCAACAAACAGAAAATTGTAATAAACAGAGCTTCTTTTGAGAATATAAAATGGCCATAAGGCAAGAGTTTTGAACACTCACCGGGATGCTACATCCAGTCTAGAGCTTGTATCCTGAAACAGATCAAAAACAACTTTCAGACTGAAGTCTACACGCCATGGTAAAATAGCAACATGAAAGTACCATATAAGTTTAAAATTGAGATGGTATATGACTACTAATTATATCCAACAGATTTGCAGACGAGAGGGTTCAAATGGGTCATGTTTAGTGTATGGTATGTATAATGAAGTGTGAGCTACTGGTTACACAAGTTGCACAGCGTCCAATTGATATTCCAAGGTATGAAATGATTTTCTGGCATCCTATTCATTTAGGTGGAGGCGTGGAGCTTATTAGATATTGGGCAGCAACAAGGAACATACATGCAATAAACGTAGACAGGGAGCCAAGTAACATACGGAATTATGGAGAGATATGAGGAAAAGGGTTGGGTGTCACCACACACCTCACGATGTGCTGCACTTCTGGATGCCCGTGGTGATGTGTGAGATTCATGTCTGCCCCTATGTCTATACTCTTCTGGAGACCCTGATCGGCCACGCCTAGATGATCGTCCTGATCCACCATTGTTCTCATCCCGGTCTGCCATTCTATCTCGCACGGAATCCCTTCTGGGACTTTGATCTGTTCTTTGCTCCCTGAAACCACCTTTTCGGTCCGGGTCCGACCTTTTCCCTCTTGAATCATGTCTGTCGTCGTCCCAGCCTGATCGTGCCTCTCTCGAAGCACCTGACCGATCATCCCTGTCAGTTCTTCTATCTCTTGAGTGGCCCCTTCCATCATTATCATCATCCAGTCTTCTACCTGTGAAGGCACTCCTATCATCTTTTAGCTCCACCTTCCTATCCCTTGACACATCCCTCCCCTCATCACGCTCCCTGTGCTTCCGCGTGCCCCGGTCTTCACTACTGGGAGGTCTCCGACGGTCGCCCTCAGTTACATCTGCCCCTTCCCGCTCAGCCTGAGCTCTCCTTAGTCGCTTGGAGCGTGGTGAGAGCGACCGAGACTGCCGTTTCCCAGCAGGCGATGGGGACCGTGCGTGTTTCGGCGACCTGACCCGCTCCTTCACCTTCTCTCTCTGTGGCGACATCTCCCTATGTGAAAGGCTAGCCTTAACAGGGGACCGCCTCCTAGGCGAGCCACTCCTCTCAGCATGTGACCTCTCCCTCCGAGCTGACGGGCTGTGCCTGCGTGGAGGCGACACGCGCTCCCTGGCCGGAGAACGGGACCTTGTGTGCCCTGACCTCCTAGGCGAGCCAGTCCTCTCAGGCCGTGACCTCTCCCTTCGAGCTGGCGGGCTCTGCTTGCGTGGAGGCGATACGCGCTCCCTCGCCGGAGAACGAGACCTCGTGTGCCCCGACCTCCGGGAGGATTGATCCCTCCGGTCCACAGTAGAAGCCATTCCTCACCTGAAGTATCAAAAAATCAATTCAGAAGGAGGAATAATGGAGAAACCATGGGAGTTCATGAATCGCAGCAGCGGGAGACCCAGGGATGATCCAAGGGACAGGTGGCAGGTGCTAACTTATGACACGCTAAAAATCCGATATCTCAAATCAAAATTTGCCTTAAAACAGCATGCTGTAGCGGATAAAAGCCTTCTGCAAAATATATTTCCAGCACAAAGCTGAAATCCTAGCAAGCTCAACATTAATACAATTAAAATTAGACACTCAGCGATGGACTCAAACTACTGACAGTGCTGCAAGCACAGACTTGCTTTCCCCAATGTGTGGGTGTGTGTGTGTCGATGAGCATAAAAAATCTGTGCTTTGTTGGCGCAGTGGTAAAGCTGCTGCCTTGTGACCAAGAGGTCACGGGTTCAAGTCCTGGAAACAGCCTCTTACAGAAATGTAGGGAAAGGCTGCGTACTATAGACCCAAAGTGGTCGGACCCTTCCCCGGACCCTGCGCAAGCGGGAGCTACATGCACCGGGCTGCCCTTTTTTGTTCAGTTTCGAGTTTCGACCACCATCCAGCTACACATGATTATAAACAGAGCATGAGAAAACTCAGCAGCAATCTAGTTAAGCAGAGAGCGCAAATGAACATACATGAGTTAGGAAGAGAACCGGTTAGGATTCGGGACACTGCTGACCGTGCCGTTCTAGGGTTCAGAGCGGGGAGGGAGAAGGCCAGCGAGAGGAGGCCACGGCAGAGACGAGGCGGCGCCACGGGTGGAGGGAATGAGGCGGGAGGGGCCGCCATGGGGCGATGTATGGGGACGTA